TAATTTGTTTATTAATAGGGAAAAAATGAATATAGGGTGGAACCGTTGTTCTGTTTACAATGAGTATGGTGTTATCAGATGTTTTAACTGTTGCCAATTTGGCCATTTTAGTAAGGATTGTACTGGAAAGGCGATATGTCCTAAATGCAGTGACGAACATGATGTCAAGGATTGTACCAGTAACGTAAGTAAATGTTCAAATTGTATACTGTCTAATAAAAAATACGGAATGAGTCTTAATATCGATCATGTAGCTTGGGATATAAATTGTGAAACTTTTAAGAGGGTGGAACAAACTCAACGAAACAAATTTATCAAATAGCAACTGGATGCTAGACTGGAAATTAATTCTAGTATAGTATATTTTAATTGTCAGGGTTACCTAAATAATAAAGATAATATAGATGTATTAATGAATGACTGGCGGCCTAAACTGGCATTTCTGTCGGAAACTCATGTGTGCTCGGAGTCCGAATTGTGTGAATTGAATGTTGAGGGTTATCAAATTGAGAAGTGTGTGACAAATAACAGGAGAACTGGGGGGGGTCATGGCCTTAATACGAAATGACGTTAGGTATAAGGTAAAAAATATACAGTGTGTACAAAATTATGTTTGGTTGTTGTCTTTAGAATTTGTAATGGAGAGGGTAAAATATCTGTGTACCGTATTGTATCATCCACCCCAGGTTGAAAATGCAAAATTTATAGATTTTTTTAATGGTTATCTGGATCAGGTCAGTGTGTTTGGGGGAACTAATATAATAATGGGAGACTTCAATTTTGATTTGCTAAAACCATCATTCTACGGTGACAAATTCCTATCTAATGTATATGCAAATGGCTTCACTCAAATTGTCAACTCACCTACACGCGTTACTGATAAAAGTCAAACACTCATTGATTATATTGTAACAAATAATAAAAACCTTCCATACAAAGTACATTTAACACCAAAAATTAGTGATCATTGTATTCTATCAATTCACCTTATTAGGAAATCTAATGGGAACTCTGACGTAGTTGCTTATCATAGATCTATGAAACACTATAATGTGGACCAGTTGCAGGATTGTCTCTTTAACTTGGGGTGGAATAATTATTGTGGGGATGTAAATGTTTTGGCGAATGGTTTTGTATCTGGTATTGCGGATATTCTTAATGTCATGTGTCCCAAACAGCGTGTTGTACCTATTTAAGCAAAAATATTTACATAAGGTTTGGATTACGGCGGAAATTAGAGAAAGAATGCGACATAGGGATAATTTGTATGTTAGAGCGGTCAGGGAAAATAACGGTGAGGTCTGGAGGGAATATAAGGCAGAACGAAATTCCATAGTAAATCAAATTAAATTGGAGAAGGATAAATACTATAGAAAAACAATTGATGACAATAAAAAGAATCCTAGGGAAATGTGGAAAAATTTAAAGTTGTTACTTCCCAGTAAAAATTCTACAGTACCTGATGAAATTTATTTTGAAAATCAAAAAATATCTGATGAATTAACCATTGCAACAGAATTCAATAGATATTTTATAAATAGCATTCAGGAAATTGTAAATAATATCCCAAAATATCCCCTCTTAGGTGAAATTTCAGCAGATATCTCTAATGTATCCTATAGTGAGTTTTCTAGATTCAAACAAATATCATTGACTGACATGAAGGGTATTCTAAAGGACATGAAAAATGTTGGGGGTGGTGATAGTGGAATTTCTAAAGGGGTTTTGTGTGATGTTTGTTATGCTGTTGGAGATCGTTTGTTGAATGTTATAAATGCGTCCCTCTCAACCGGGGATTTTCCGGAGGCGTGGAAGGAATCCACTGTCATCCCTGTCCCTAAAGTTGCAGGTACGAATCTGTGCAATGAATTCAGGCCAATAAACACCGTCGAAGTATATGAGAAAGTGCTAGAGCTCGCTGTTAAAAATCAGCTTCAAAATCATTGTAATAAAAATGAAATATTGGTGAGTCATCAGTCGGGTTTCCGTGAGAGTCATTCGTGTGAGTCTGTGGTTATAAATATATGTGATGTATTTCTGAGGGAAATAGATAAGGGTAATTTCGTACTGGCAGTATTCTTGGATTTCAACAGGGCTTTTGAGACTGTAGATAGGGACATTTTATTAAGGAAACTAAACGATATCGGCATTGGGCACACAGTATTGCAATGGTTTAAATCATATCTGAGTAACAGACATCAAAAGGTGAAATTTAAGAATTCTATGTCAGATTCCTTACTGGTTCAGTATGGAGTACCGCAGGGAACCATTTTGGGACCGCTATTATTTCTACTCTATATAAATGATATCGTCAAAGTTGTGAAGGGATGTAAAATTGAATTGTTTGCTGACGATACAATGATATACTTGGCTGGAAAAGATATAGTTCAGATGCAAAAAATAGTAAACACTGATTTAAATAATTTGTTTAAATGGCTTTGCAACAACAACTTAAGTATTAACACTTCGAAATCAAAATGTTGTTTATTTGGGAAAAAATATAGTCTGAAAGATGTTAATCTAGAAAGCTTAAATATTATTATGAATAACGAAAAAATACTTCATGAAAATCAGATTAAATATTTAGGAGTCATATTCGATTCATGTTTGAATTTTTATGCACATGCAGAGTACATAACGAGGAAGTTTTCCAAAAAAGTAAACTTTATTGGGAGGATAGGCAATAAGTTGTCAATGGCTACTAAATTGCTAATCTATAAAAGTATAGCAACTCCACACCTTGAATTTTGTTCCACCCTCTTGTTCAATTTGCCTAATTTTAAGATAGAGCAGTTACAGATTGTTCAAAATAGAGCAATGAGAACTATTCTAAGATGCAATAGATATACCCCAATTGCAACAATGCTTAACATTTTAAATGTCTTCTCTGTCAAGCAAAAAGTTACGTACAGCGTCCATGTTTTTCTGTTTAAAATTAAGAACAAAATGTTACCGTCTTATATCTGTGATAGGGTGAAGTTTTTTAAAGATGTACATAGTTATAACACCAGAAATTGTAATGACTTTGTATTGTCAGATAAGTGTTGCACCACCCAAATGCTCAACTCGGTTCTATATAGAGGTTTACATGATTTCAATATGTTACCCAACAATATAAAAGACTGTGATAACCTGAAAATGTTCAAAAAATTAGTGAGAGATCATATATTGTGAGATTTGTTTTATAACGTTTATATTGTCGTTTTATTTTATTTTTTATACTTATTTATTTATTTATTTTACAACTATGTGTATTTATTGTTTGAATGTTTTTTATTGAATCCTTTTTAATGTGTTAATTTATTATTATTATTATTATTATTATTGTAACTACCTAGGATATAATATTTTATTGATTTGTTTTTGTATTTAGCATATTTGCTCAATAAAGATTATTATTATTATTATTATTAATGGTGGTTTCCGTAACTTTTTAAATTTTCCGTGATTTTTGAAATTCTCGTAATTTTTGTTATTTTTTCGTAATACGTTATTTGCCAATGTTTTCGAAATTTTAATAATTTTTGAAATTCCCGTGATTTTTTTCGTAATTTTTTAATTCTCCTAATTTTTTACAAATTTAAATCTCGCAATTTACCCATGATTTTCGCAGTTCTACATAATTTTTGAAATTCTCGTAATTTTTGTAATCCTCGTGATTTTTGTAATTTTTCCGTAATTTCCGCAATTTGTCAATGATTTTTGCAATTTCACGTAGTGTTTGAAATTCCCGTAATTTTTTAAAATAATTTCCATTACATAAGTATTTCCATTCCGGGTTTTTTTCGTAATTTTTCAATAATTGTAAGTGTGGAAAAGCACATTCTCGGCCTTCGGTGTTTGCCAGCCTCGGCTACGCCTCGCCCGTCAACTTACACCGTCGGCCGAGAATGTGTCACTTTTCCACCTAAATACACAATATACTATTTTGGAAAACTGTCAAAGGGAAAATTTTGAATATTTTCCAGGAAAAAGAGAAAAGTGAGGAGCTAATTATAGGGAAATTTCGAAATTTTCCAGTGATAAATCACTCCAGGAAAAATTCAAAGAAAATTGATTTATTTAGGCAAAATTAAGGAAAATTCACCTCTGGCATTTTAATTTTTTTCTAGAAAACTGGCAACGGGAAAATTTTGAAACATAGGAGAAAGAGGAAAGTGAGGAGCTCATTAGAGGAAAATTTCAAAATCACTTCAAGAGAAATTTATTTATTTCGGATAACTAAATAAACTCTATTCTAAATTAAAAAATGTATCACAAAACAATAATTCCGAAGGTGCTCCATGAATTAATCTATGACCTGATTTTTTCTCTAAGTTATGACGTCATCGATGACGTAAGTAAAAATCTTCATGCCGTGCAACGAACTATATGTTTGTTTGAAATTTCAGACATAAAAAAATCTATTTTTCAGAAAAAAGGCAAATGATGACGTAAGTACAAACCCTCGTGAAACTAACTTTTTTTTACGCGTCACATTTCCTTTCCATCAAAACCCCTCAAATTTGGAGCCTAGTTGCGCTTATGCTGCAGACTAGGACAATCGGAAAAATCGGCAGTTTCGGAACATGCGCTTAGCAAAGGAAATTATGAAATACTCTTTGGTGAGGTCAAGCTTCTTGCACCGACTTCCGGATACCACAATCGTCTTGTACGTGAAGCTTTAGAAATCCACAAACATACGGAGAACTTCAACAGAAAATAGGAAACACTAAAACTCAACCAAATCTGGAATCCGATCCTCAAAAACGCAAGAAAGATCCCGTTGAGTAGAGAGAGAGTTGAGATTAACCATGTGACGCAAAGCCCCGCCCACCCCCCACCACAGCCACTCACACATAAATACAACTTACGGTCGAGAATGCGTCAGTCTGATACCAGAATCGGACATGGAAGCACTAAACGTCAGGAAGAAATTCCAACTTACGACGGCCATTAAGCCCTTTATCATTAAACCTGGGCCGCGAAAGCCTCACAAATTTTATGCCTCATATTCTTACTTTTTTTAATGTAAGGTTCCACTGCACCTCCAACAACTTGTGTACATCGGCCTCCAGTCCACAAAAACCCTCCGTCGAATCCAAATGAATACAAATCGTCGCCCACTCCATTGCCGCCCCATTTTTCGCCGCCCCCAGGATACGGTATGTAGCCTTTGGCATTGGCCCAGCCGATTCTCAGATGCGGCGTCATGTGGGTGGTTTGTTCCAGGTGATCTACGGTCACTTCGAAGTACCATTTCTGGTAAATGGCGCTGCCTTCTACACGACCTACGAAAATGTTTGGTCGTACGCTGGCTACGTGGTCCACCAGTTGCGTTTGTAGAAGTAGATTTTTGCCAGGCAGTAAATAATCGCAAATGTTGTTCTGCGAGCTACGGACTGCTACTCCATTACCGACGCATAATGAGCACAGGACGTCCAAGACTTTAGGATCGCGTCCGTGTTTCTCTAGTAGGGATATTATGACTTTGATGTGTTCATCTCTCATCATGTTTAGAGCTTCTGGAGAGTCTATCAGGACACAATGAAGTACATCCAACATTCCGGTGCCTTCGCTTGATGCTTGAGAACCAAGCCTGGAGAAAAGCCAATTTAATCGATTCGAATTGGCAAACTGGGCACAATTTGTGTGGTTTCCTTTGATTATAGCGGCCAGTAATTGATATAGATATCCGGAAATCATTTCCCAGCTTTGGTCGCCAGCCAATGCAGCTAAGAAGCCTTGCGAAGTGATTACGTTGATTTTATCGATGGCTTCGAGGATTAAATTCAGGATGCCTTCTTCTTGAAACAAATCTTGCCTGTTTCTCAAGGCTCTGAGTCTGTTTTGTTTTTCTTCGTGTTCCATGTCGTCTTCGGGCTGAGCGAAATAATTTATCAAGTCTTCCAGGCACATGACCATTTCATTTAGATTCACTACCTAAATATTATGAGTGTTTAATACCTATTAATAAAAAAGCTCTTACTTACTTGAAAAAATATTGAGTGTCTCCTATTTACTTGCAAACTTTCCAAACCATTAATGAATTGAGTGAATAAGGAGCTACATTTTCTAATGACTCTGGCCGTTCTGGATTCTTCCTCTTGACTCCTACTGAAATCCAAGCCATCGTCCATTTTGCCTTCCTCGTGCAAAACAGCTTGTTTTTCTTCAACCTTACCAACTCCCTTCTTTTTCGTTTCATAAGCTTTATAAGACAACCACAATCCGGTCTCAGAATGTTGCACGATAACCGTAGAATCACCATATTTGATAATGGCCGACCCGATCACTTCCAAATCTTTGTCTTCCAAGACCACTTTCTGATCGTCTTTTTCGTGTCTGAGACAAAAAGCCGTCAAAGAAGTGGCGGCTTCTTCTCGGCTGACTAGAAACAGCTCGTTGTTTTCGTTGGCGGCCAAATAGCGACCGGTTGTGATGTGTCTTATGCGCATAGGATGGCTCCAATTGATGAAACCTCCTGCCCATTTGGTTCTGGCAAGTTCCAGCCTCCAAAGGGAACGAGCTTGGGACATGACGCTACCGCCTTCGTAAATGACGATGCTGGAACAAAAATAATTTAGAATGAAGGCTTTTACACGGCTGGTCAAATATGGTAAAACAGTTTTTTTCCGGGCTATGATGCCGTGGTCGAGTATAATATTTCTACCTAACGTTTCGTCTACTGCTGCGGTAGACTTCTTCGAGGCGGTGTGGTAGAGGACGAAGTTTTCTCTTCCGATAACTAGATTCGACGTTGTTGGACCTGCTTTGATTGGATTAGTTAGAGTTGAGTTTCAATGAAAATTGGCTTGATTGAGTTAGTTTAAAGTTGAGTTTCAATGAAAATTGGCTTGATTATTTATATCCATGGTTGTGGGTTTGGCTTGTGTTACGCTATTTTCCTTGTCTCGTTCTCGGAAAGGAAAGGTCCTTGTTTTTCAGAGAACTGGCAACCAATTTCTGTTAAAGTTCATGCCGCCTTCTTTTCTGTTGAAGTTGTTGTGGTGTTTCTGTATCTCTATGGCTTCTCTATGGAGACTGGTGTAAAAATTCCTGGTTCTATCCAATGCTTGAGTCTGGTCGAAACGGATGACATAGTTTGTTTGTGTTAACACGTGTTCGGCGATTGCTGATTTATCTATTTGTCCCTGTTGACAGTTTCTTTTGTGCTCTTTGACCCTGGTATTGATAGAGCGTTTGGTTGTTCCTACATAGACAGATCTACGAGAGCAGGGAATTCTTTCAAGAGGTGCCCTAGGATCCTTGGCCGATCTTAAACTTTGCTGAATTGTTCTTGTAGATGGGCTTAATGTTGTGTTTTTCTTGCTTACGTCCTATGCGATCTATGAAATTTGCCACCTGTGCTGGTTCCTTATTATTTGTGCGCTGTTGTTTCGGTCTTATATAGCTTTATTTATCTCCTGCTTGGAGTATCCATTTCTTTCAAGTGCTGATTTTAGGTGTTGCAACTCGTCCTGAACACATTTGGGTTCACAAATTCGAATTGCCCTGTCAGATAGAGTTTCTATTGACTCCTAGGATGGTGATTGGATTCCTTGTTGAGGTATCTGTCCGTATACATCGGCTTGCTATATACTCTGTGTCCCAGTTTACCTGAGGATAATCTTTCTGAGAGGACATCAAGGAATGCAATTTTGTTGTCCCTCTCAACTTCCATCGTAAACTGTATTCTGGGTTTTATTGAGTTTAGATGATTAAAGAAGTTTTCGAGTTCCGCCTGTCCATGATTCCAAACAACAAAAGTGTCATCTACATAGCGAAACCAATAAGTAGGTTTCTTTGTGGCCGTTCGCAGTGCCATTTGTTCGAAGTGTTCACTGTAGAAGTTGACGATAACCGGGCTGAGTGGCAACTCCATCTGTCTGCTCAAAGAATTCATTTTGCCATTGGAAGTACGTAGTTGTCAAACAGTGGTGAAATAAGTTGTTGATTTCCTTTGGAAAAACATCTTTTAGATACTCCAAGGCCTGATTCACTGGTACCTTGGTAAACAACGAGACGACATCAAAACTAACCAGAATTTCGTTTGATAGCAGAGTGATGTCACTGATCTTTTTGATAAAATGAGTGAAGTCTTTAACATAAGAGCTGAATTAGCCAATCAGTAGTTGAACGGTAGTGCTCGGACGAGTTGATTGGTTTTCACAATATAGAAGCAATGGGATTACGCTTCAGCTTTCTGTAGGTGAAGGGGTCTAACAGTTCGGAAATTTTTGATTCATAGTCAGTCACGTTCATGATTACCATTGTGATTCCTTGATCCACAGGCAGGACTAATATGTTCTTGTCTGTATTCAGGCTGCGAATAGTTCCTTTCTTCGTATGTCAGATTACACTTTGGAGGTTTCGCTAGTCGTAGAATCCTAGATGTTTCATTGCGTATTTCCTCAGTGGTTTGAGGTAATGTGTGTATTCTGGCTTCCATAGTGGTGCCGCGAGACGAGACTGGACGAGACTTAGGGTTGGTCTCGTCTCGTCTCGTCTCGACATCTCGAGACGAGACCGTGACTTAGTCTCGGTCTCGAGTACCAAAGTCTCGTCTCGTCTGGTATCGAGTTATACAGGGTGTCCAAAAAATAGCGTAAAAACTCTTCTCTACGTGGTGGAGGACTCTACAAGGAACCCCAGAAAAATATTTTAAAAAATCTAGTGGCATTCTTGAGAAAGTTATTTGCATTTTAATACTTATTAAAATAGGCAACACTGAAAATATCCCGTTGACAATATGTCAGAGAATTAAATTAAATACCCATGTAATTACCTGAAGAATTCGAAGTTGAATTTTCACATCTACCTCTTCATATTACCAAGAATAATGCTGGAGAAGGATTTTTTTATTTAATTATTTTTCTAGGGTTTCTCAAAGGGTCCCTGTTAGTGAATTTAATCAGTTTCAACGTGAAAATAAATTAGTTAGGTACCTATGTTATGTAGGTAATTTTTTTTTGACATAATAGAATTGTCAGATTGATTTGTAATTAGTCAAATTTTATAATCTTTCTCCTCATATTTTGATATTTTGCATTAAAGAAAAGTATTTTCTGAAGTGTTGGCTATTCCATTGCAAATTGAAAATTCCAATAGGTTATTGGCCCAGGACAGCAACGCCAAGATAACTTCAGAAATTGAAAGTACACGTGGTACGAAAATATGGATGCAAAATTGAATCTTGACAAGTTAGTGGAATCTGCAGAAGGAAATGGAAAGTCGAACTATGTTGCATGGGGATTCAAACTAAATCTATTGCTTCGAATGAAAGGACTGTTTGAAATTGTTATTGGTGAGATACCTCAGCCAGTTGACACAGACAAGAATTATGCAGCTTGGATGAAAAAGGACATAGAAGCTCAAACCATTATTGGATTGAATGTCGACGAGAATATTGCTCTTAAAATTACGACTTGTTCAACATCGAATAAGATGATTGAGAGACTGGAAATATTATATGGCAAGAAAAGTCAGAAATCTGTTATCTGTTGACATGTTGCAACAACAATTTTTTGCAAATATGATGAATCGAAAACGGCAGTTGAAAATTGTCTAGCAATTGATGGTCTGGCGCAAGAATTGAAAATTAATGGAGAAGATATTAAGGACAACTGGCTAATGTCTCGAATTTTGAATTGTTTGCCTGCGAAATTTGATCATTTTCATGCAGCCTAGCAATCAGTAGCTGAAAACGACAAAACGATTATTAATTTAAGGAATCGCTTGCAACAAGAGGAGATAAGATTACAAGGACGGGAATCAGAGATAGTAAGCAATGCACTTGTTGGAAAATTTGATAAGTCCAATAAAAACAACCAAGAAAAGAGAAACTTTGGAAAGAAAAATCAGCAAGGTTTCAACCAGAATAGAAATTCATTGGGTCAATCAAAGGTAAAATGTTACAAATGTGGTAGATCTGGACATTTTAAACGTGATTGTCATAACAAACCGTGTCAGGAGTATTTGGATTATTGCAAAAATAAATATGAATCTCACAATTGTCACGAAAAAGGGCATTTCTCGAATGATTGTCCTAAAAAGTCAAGTAATGAAGGAAACAAAGTGAAATCGTTTGTCTCAGTTGCATTATCATCATCAGTATTGGAAGGATTATCAAATCACTATGAAATATGGATCATGGACAGTGGCGCAACACATCATTTGACTGGAAACTTGAAATGGCTCTCAAATATACGTCCATTGACAACACCAATTTCAATTGAAATTCAACAAAATTAGAAGGTATAGTTTTTGGAGATGTTTATTTGCATGCTTATAATGGCAAAGAATGGTGCAAAATTGTTTTGAAAGATGTTTTATTTGTTCCGGAGCTCTCGTTTAACTTATTTTCAATTACAACAGTTTTGGATAAAGGTTATACACAGTCAGCAACAGCAGAAAAGTCAGTAATTATGGAACAAGGAAAACCAGTATTGATAGCCAAGAGGACAGGTGGTTTATTTCACATGATGTTCCGTGAAATGGGAGAGTATGGTTTGCCAGCAGTTAGCCTAAAACTTTGGTATGAACGGTTAGCACATCAAAATATTCAACATGTGAAAGATGTATTGAAGAAAAATGAAATAAGTTATATTGATGACTGGAAAGATTATGTCTGTCAAGGTTGTGTGTATGGGAAACAACACAGAGTTTCTCATCCAACGAATGAAGTCATAGCAAAAGCATGTTTGGACAGAGTACACGTTGATCTTGGAGAAATGAATGTTCGTTCTCTCGGTGGTGCAAAGTATTTTTTACTTTTCAAAGATGATTATAGTCATTTTCGAACCATTTATTTTTTGAAATAAAAATCTGAGGCAGTCAAAAAGCTAAATATCTACTTGAACCTGGTTGAGAATCAATTTGGTTGTAGAGTGAAAGTATTGATGTCAGATAATGGTACGGAAATTAAAAATTTAAGAAGCCGAGAAATTTTTGAACAGCTTGGAATATTTCATGAACGTAGCAATTTATACACCACAACAAAATGGCAGAATTGAGAGAGAAATGTGGATAATGGTTGAAGCCGCACGAGCTGAAATTTACACTCATGATTTTGGACAAGACTTATGGGCAGAAGCAATAAATTACTCAGTATTTACAATTAATCAAATTGGCAATAGTAGTATTGGTGGTAAAACTCCAGCAGAATTATGGTTTGGTTGTCATATTAATCTGAAAACAATGAAAAGTTTTGGTTGTGAATGTTACATGATGTTACAGGATCATCAGCGTCTGAAAATGGATAGGAAAAGTAAAAAAGGAATTTTTGTTGGATATGATATTGAAGAGCATGGGTATCGTATATATTTTCCGAATGAACGCCAAGTAGAAGTGTCATGCAATGTTTTATTTGATGAAAAGATTGGTCCAGAAAGTGGTTTTACAGAAATAAATTGTAAATCAACCGAACAAATTGAACAAAATACTGAAAATGAATCGGAATAAGAGTCAGGGCAAATGTTAGAGGCAGAGCAGAATGCACAAGGATAGGAGGAAAATATTGGAAGTTATGAAAGTGATCCAGCAGAATCGACAGATGAAGATGTAGATTTACCAAGATATGGACTGAGAAATCGTCAAGAGATTAAATCTCATTCAACATATAAATACTATATATTGATTGGAGAAGTGGAAGATATATCAGTTGAAAATGTACTGAAAGATCCTCGTTGGAAGAAAGCAATGCAAGAAGAGTTTAATTCATTGCAAGATATGAAGACATGGGACTTAGTTAAATTGTCGGAAAATCGAAAATCGTTAACATGCAAATGGGTATTACGAGAAAAAGCTGATGGTCGCACAAAAGCACGTCTGGTTGCCCGTGGTTTTGACCAAAAGCATGGAATAGATTACAACGAAACGTTTGCACCTGTGGCTCGACATGCAAGTATTAGATTACTGTTGAGCTATGCAGTGACAAAGAGAATGTTTATTCGCACATTTGATATTAATACAGCTTTTCTGAATGGAGAATTATCTGAGGAAATTTACATGTTACAACCGGAAGGCTTCGATGATAAGTCTGGTAAAGTTTGTCTACTGAAACGAAGTTTATATGGTTTGAAACAAGCATCGAAAGATTGGAACAAGAAATTTACTAAAAGCTTGAAGAAATTGGGATTCATAGACACAGATGACGACCCATGTATTTTTTACAATGAAGAAAAGACAATAATAATTGGAATATTTGTGGATGACGGAATAATGATTGGTTGTGATGAAAAGAAAATGAAACAAACACTAGTTGGATTGAGCAGAGAATTTAAAATGAAGACCTCCATTCCAGAAGATGGAAAACTATTTTATCTTGGAATGGAAATTAAATTAATGCAAAAAGGAATATCAGTTACGCACAGCAGAAATACACTCGAAAAATATTGTCACGTTTTGGATTTGAAGATGCACATCCAGTTTCGACACCAATGGAACCTGGAATGCAGACAGAAAAGAAAATAAATGACAAAATCTTGAAAGACAAACCGTATAGAGAGGCTATAGGTTGTTTGTTATACTTGTCAACAATTTCGAGACCAGATATTAGTTTTGCGATGAATTATTTAAGTAGAAAAGTTAGTAAACCAAATATTAGTGATTGGAGAATGGTCGAACGAATTTATCGATATCTGAGAGGAACGGAAAATTTTGGAATATTTTTTAATGGTGATGCAAACTTGAAAGCATATACAGATTCAGATTATGGAGCAACAGAAGCTGATATGATATCTACTAGTTGATATTTGAGGGTCCAATTGTTTGGATTGCTCAAAAACAGATAGTAACTAACTTCAACATCATCGGCAGAGGCTGAATATCGTGCAGCTACAAGTGGAATTCAAAAAGTATGTTAGATTCGTCGAATAATTACAGAACTTGGAATGCAAGAATTGACTGAACCGACTGATTTGCTTGTTGATAATAAAGCAGCGATTCATATGATGGAAAATGCAGAGGAAGGAAAAGTCACGAAAGGCAAGAAGCACATCGAAATTCGTCGCAAGTTCATAAATCAGCACATTGGCAAGACTGTACGTTTAGTTTATCTTAATGCGAAAGAACAAGTTGCTGATATATTTACAAAGGCATTGAACAAGAAAGTTTTCGAAAACTTACCGTAAGGTGGGGGTACTTGCAACAGTGGCACAACTTGCAACAATATTCATCGGGTGGAATTTTTGCTTTCCCCCTCCTCTCACTTGAGTCGCGCGTCAACCGCTAACATGTTACCGTTTAGAACGGATCAGTAGGTTGAAATGTGAGTAGGTTTAGCGTTGAAAAATTTTAAACACGAAAAATTTGGCGCCATTTTCTGACAGCTCTGGTAAGTGCTCTAAATTGTTGCAATATAACTTCTCCTGTGCAGAGCTTATTTATCCTAGGATTTGTATCAAATTTGGATATGATGTGCTTGAATGCTTAGTCTAAAACATTGAATATCTAGTTTTGAGTTAAGTTTGAAGGTATTCGTGAATAGATTTTTTTTTAAATTGCATGTACAAAAGTGGGTAACTTGCAACATGCCTTGCAAATACAAAAAACAGTTAGGGACAAAAAAATAAAGAAGCTATCGGCTATCGGCAAAAGAATTTTGAAAATGTTGCAACTAACCCCCCACCTTACGGTACGTCGGAAACTGCTTAAGGAAGAGTGTTAGTGAATTTAATCAGTTTCAACGTGAGAATAAATTAGTTAGGTACCTATGTAGGTAATTTTTTTTTGACAAAATAAAATTGTCAGATTGATTTGTAATTAGTCAAATTTTATAATCTTTCTCCTCATATTTTGATATTTTTTATTAAAGAATAGTTATTTTTGTCACAAGTACCTAAAATGACGAGGCGTTAGCCGAGTCCGGAATAGCAGATGAGTCCTGAAAAACTTCGTTAGGTACGTGTGACAAACACTATTTTTTGTCATACGCTTTTTAGAATTCTTCAGAACGCTAAAATTTTCCTTAATTTTTGAAATCATCCAGAAAGAAAAAAAATCCTGAAAAGAAGCATTTTACGGACTTAAATGAGTCCGTGAAATAGCTGTTTTTGGGAGCGTATGACAAAAAAGTATTTTTTGAAGTGTTGGCTATTCCATTGCAAATTGAAAATTCCAATAGTCCCCTACTACGTGGAGAATTTTTACGCTATTTTTCGGACACCCTGTATTTATGGTTTTTATTTTTATATTATAACGGAAGTCCAAACTGCCACAGTGGAAAAGCAATTAGTGAAAAATCACAGTAAAGTGTAACAGTGATATTCAATTTACTGATTTCATATTCAAATAACCCAGAATAGTCCAATAATAAAGCTATGAAAGAAAAAATTTAAGTATAATCTCGAGACTCGAGACTACACGAGACTTTCGCCGAGTCTGGTCTCGTCTCGTCCAGACTTCACGAGACGAGACCAAAAGCCAGTCTCGTCTTGAAAAGTCGAGACGAGACGAGACCAGTCTCGAGTCTCGCGGCATCACTAGGCTTCCACATTTGCTATGATGTCTTCGAATGGCAGGTCTTTCGGTGTTATTGCAAAATTACCTCCTTTCCTTCTCTATCTTACAGGTCAATCCGCATTTGTGAACCCAGGTACCATCAGGACGAGATGCAACACCTTAAATCACCACTCGAAGGAAATCGGTACTCCAAGCAGGAGATAAATAGAGGTATAAGACCGAAGCAACAACGTACAAATAATAAGGAACCAGCACAAGTGGCAGTTTGAGCCTTCCTTCCCTAAATCAAAAATATCACAGATCGCATAGGACATTCGCAAGAAAAACACAACATCCATCTACAAGCCCACAAGAACAATTCAGCAAAGTCTAAGATCGGTCAAAGATTTTAGGGCACCTTTTGAAAAGGCTGGCGTTTATAGAATTCTCTGTTCTTGTGGATCTGTCTATGTAGGAACTGTTATGTACATAGTGTAAATTCAATTCATCATAAAATAGTACACAAACTGTAAATACATTTAAATCCACCGCGCTTTTCAAAAAGTCATTGGGATGTCAGTTACGTCACGAATGGAAGGAGAAAAGCGCATGCATTGACGAAGGGGACCCAAGTTGGAGCGGAGAGCCAGTCGACAAACACATCGCGAAGCGGGTACGCGCAACGAAAAAGGTGAGTGACGGCCATTTTGTCATCTCAGCATTTCTTATCTTGTCGGTTCAAAAATTATGCACAGGCCTCATCGGGCATTTAATACAGTCCACTTTTATTGAATAATGCAAGGAACATAACAGGAACAACCAAACGCTCTATCAACACCAGGGTCAAACAAACCATGTCATCCGTTTCGACTGGACTCAAGCATTGTATAGAACCAGGAATTTTTACACCAGACTCCACAAAGAAGCCATAGAGATACAGAAACACCACAACAACTTCAACAGAAAAGAAGATGGCATGAACCTTAACAAAAACTGGTTGCCAGCAGTTCTTCGAAAAACCATCACCCTTCCTTTTCGAAAACGATACAAGGAAAATAGCGTTATACAAGCCACGCTAACAAACCTGGATATAAATAACGCAGGTCCAACAACTTCGAATCCAGTCATCGGAGGAACACTTCATCTTCTACCACACCGCCTCTGAAAATATCTACCGTAGCAGTATAGACGAAACGTTAGGTAGAAATATTAGTCAATCACGGCATTATAGTCCGGAAAAAACTGTTTTAATAGAAATAATTCCTAATTTGGATTTCAAGTAGTTTTAGCCTTTTGGACATAGACTTCTGAATGTCCAAAAGGCACAACTCCATTTATCAGATTATAAAGCATCATTTACTTGTGAGATTCTTCAGTGCTCCAAGTAGATGGTATAGTAAGACATTCATCGCCTCCATGAAAAAATCGAAGTACATCACCTCCAAATACGTAACCGACATATTTCATACGCGAAATACCAGTACCATAAGGTTGTACCGACCAATGAGTGACGTGGAAACTTGCATTAACAATAGACAGTTCGTTTTCTTTGGTTGTGTGCTAGAAAAATTAGCATTAGAAGTTACCTAAACCAAAAACAATCTGTTACTAACCAAATATCGTTCAGTTGCCACTGATACCAAAATCAAATCGTCACCGACTCTGACTTTTTCACCTTCCGATCTAAAATATATATTTTTTTAAATTGTTGCATTCAAATACACAACCCTAAATACCTTTGCTTGCTGGCAGGATGAACAGTCCACCAGCATGCTTCACCCTGGCTGTGTTCTTGCAAACCGACATCAAAAGCCAATTTATCATTGCTGGAACTTGTAGACAAGCATGCTAAATACTAAAAAAAAAAATTAATATTTATATAGCAGGAATGTTGTTTTTGGCAGATGAGTTGGGAAACATGGAACTTGTCCAACACATTTTTTATGCTTACCATATCGCTGTTTTGATGTCTGAGAAGTATAGCGTTGCCGTACAATAATGTACGATGTCCTGAACCTGTTCCTTTGCCCTAAATTGATTTAGTTTGTTTAGGATTTTTCAATGTACATATATTTTTTATTAATTAGCAAATGCTTCTACTTTACTAATCTAACTACCTGTTTTTTTTTTTTTTTAAATAAAATGTACATAGTTTTTTGTTAGATTCTACCGCATTAAAGTCTGTTATAAAAGGCCATCATAATGTACGAATAATATAGATTATGGTTATGGTTTGTTTGACAAAACATTTCTAAGAATAATAAGCATTAATTTCTACTACAATTAAACAAACTTTGCCAATTAAATAAGAGTTAGTTTTTTCAGCTCCATTGCAAATAAATTTTGTATACGTTTTACTTACTAAACTGTCATTGTTCTGAAAAGCAAAAAATGAAGCAAATGAAAACACAATTTAAAGGAATTATCATCATCAATAAAAATGGGCGAGAATATTTAATTTGCGTGTTAAAAACATTTTTGACCTTTTATAAAATAATTCTTATTTTATTCAATTTTCTACTTACAGATTCGTTACCGGCAGCAGTGACCAATTCCTGCAAAGCTCTCACCGATAAGGCTTGTTCGATTACGAAAACGCATTGGGACAAATCAGGAGGGATATTCTGGAAATTGTAGAATTAGAGCTACTGAAGATTTTTCAGAATTTGTTACCTTATCGGCGATATTTTCTAGGAAACAGTGTCGATTACCGAAACCTTCGGCGGCCAAACAGACACGTTCTCCTGTTGCGGTACAGGAAAGACACACCATATCTTCCTATATAAAAAACAATGATTTTTGTTAACTTAATTCTAGTTTATTCTTATATCCAATTGCAGTTTTTTCTGGAATACTGGAAAAGTGCTCTGTTTTCAAATCAAGAAACCTTTGGAGACATCTGTATAGGTTGACTTAAAAACTGATTTTTGTCTCTCATCCAGAGGAATGATGACCTTTTCTGAAATTTGATTTCTGATGTCTCTGCCCTCTTATTCTTTGAGAGATCAATTTTGCTAAGACGCTTTTTTCGAGTTGATGAAGAATGAGAAAAGTTTATATCTTTACAATAAAGCTCATTTTTCAATGAGTTCTCAGCTGAGATTTGCCAAAATATGGAAGAGATTGATTTGTGTATTCTGTTAATATTTAGCTGTGTGAGCTGTTTTTGATACACTTTGCTTAATCTTCCTTTTCTCGTGAATGACATTAAAAGGCCACATGCATTATTATGAATTAATTGCCTTGGAATTCTATTTTGAAGAGTCAAGTTCATTTTAATTAGTTACTTACCGTCCGCAAGAAGGAGACATCGTCCTGTTCGGAGCCTCCCTCGGCCTCCGCCACCATTTTTCTGGCTCAAGCCTTTTGTCCTACAAAAATATAAAACTCAATCATTTGGAAAATCAACAACAACATGCGGTCAAAGTGCGGACAACCAGCTGGGCTGGCAATTGGGTCAAAGTTAGGATCGATTTTCAGTTTTCCAGAGGCACCCTCTATCAAATATATAGTAGTTTTCCTAAAGGATTACAGAAAATTCACAGCACAAAATGTATTGCAACTGCAAAAATCATTGAAATGACTTCTGCACTATATTTTAATCTTTGCCTAATTGTCATTTATCAAAAATTATTTTTTTCTATTTCCTATAATCAATAGGTAAACTATTGACAGTAAAGTTAGTTTCCTGGATATTACAAATATTAACACAATAAACTTTACCTTTTAGTAAGCAAAAAATCCCTATTTCGTTACATCAATAAAAAAAAAATCACACAATTTATACACACACGCCAACCATTGGGAAATTTTAAGCCCGCAGCACCGCTGAATGACCGAACCGTGACTATTCTTAGCTCTATGGCAAGCCCTGTATCCAGATATTTTTGGATTGGGCCTGAGCCGAAATAAAATTAGAAGATTTGCGGTAAGTAATGAACCGGTATATTTGGAGTAAGTCACTACTACGGAAATAGGAAAATGCGATTCATGAATATGCAACAAAGATTTCTAGATTTTAATCAACAACACGACTCAATTGTTGATCCTTGTTGAACTGAATTTGCAATAGAGTAACAGGGTCTTTTTGTATAGAGTTGAAATTGAATTGGATAAGTTTCAAACTCTGATTTTTAAAAGTTGCAGTTGACATATAGAGCGGTATGAGAAATTCATTTCGTTTTCTATTTTGGACCATTCAAGAGTTGAAGTGTAGCTATGAGTTTTAAAAGAATCATTTTTTATCCTCTTGGAGCTGATTTTCATATGGAGAAACATGGAAATTTTATTCTAGGCTTTCTGGAGTTGGAAAGTATGATAATGCCAAGACTAAGTTGAGCTAGAGCGGTTTGAGAAGCTCATTCGGCACCCGTTAGAAACGGTTTCAATCGATAGAGAAGGTCCAGCTCATATTTTCAAGTATATTTGAGCAAATTGAATTATTATTATTATTATTATTATTATTATTATCATTATTATTATTATTATCATGTAGCTACTTCGGAAAGGAGGGCCCGGTATTCAACCTTATTAATTTAATTATTGATTCATTTAGATGTTTATTGCAATTCAGCAATAATAAATTCATAAAAATAACAGGCCAAGCCCAGCAACAGACAGACTTGAACCAGTGTTGGTCAAGGGCGCCCACAGGGAGGGTCAGGGGGGATCACTCGACCCCCCCTGGAAATTTCTTAAATTTTAATTATTTTCTATATATATTATATTGTAACAGGCATACTTGGCATACTTGAATGCCAGCCACAAACCAGGTAGCTGCAGTAATCCTACCTTTGAATTCGACCAAATCATGAAACCCAACCTACTTCCCATAAAACTTACCTTATGATATTGACAGATTTCGCATTGCATATGAGTTAATAAATCTAAAAAAGTGTAATATGTATTTTGATGCGCAAAATAAAAAGATCTACCAAAATGACTATGGAAAGATTCACAGGCATTTGTTGTCTTATCCAGGTCTATCGAGGCATGTGCCATGTGTCGATGAGATAATCTGAAAATTTAACTAGGACTGCGTGATTCGGCTGAATAGCTAACAACTCGAAAACAAATAAATCGCTAACTTCTTGATTCTCTAAAAACATCATTCCAAAACAATTATGTAACGATTTACAGATTTCTGAATCTTTTTTTTAATATTCAATGCTTAAGCCTAAGTTTTGGAGCTTCCTCTACCATGCCTGAGATTTTAGCTATTTATAAGAAGTAAATAAGTTGATTTAATGTCTATATCTCAGTGTACCGATTTGCATATTGATAAATTGTCACCCTTTCCTTATTCCGGAACTGGTGAATTTTGTGGCTGAGTTCAAGGATCCCGGAGCTAAACACATGTCACTTTTACGTGAATCAAATAATAAACAATCTGTGTGTTAACATGTGGCTTTTAAAATTATGTTTTTGCTTAAATTTTGCATTGCAAGTGTCACATTCAAATGGATAAATATCCGAATGTGTTAGTTTGTGAAGCTTTAAATCGGCTTTCCATTTAAATTTTGATTTGCAAATGTCCCATTCAAAAAAAATTAATATCCAAGTGTATCAATATGTGCTCCTTCAAATCGCTTTTTCTCTTCAATTTTGCATTGCAATTGTTACATTTGAAATTCTCCTCATCCGAGTGTGTTAATATGTGGCTTCTCAAACTACGTTTGTGTTCAAATTTTGCATTGCATGTGTCACATTTAAAAGGATAAATATCAGACTGTGTTAGTTTGTGTCTCTTTAAACAGTCTTTTCCTTTGAATTTTGCTTTGCAAATGTCACATTCAAAAAGATAACTATCGAAGTCTGTTGATATGTGACTTCTCAAATTACCTTTTTGTTTAAATTTTCCTAATTTAAATTTTTATTTAAATTTTGCATTGCATATGTTGCATTTGAAATTCTTCTCGTCCAAGTGTGTTAGTTTGTCTCTTCAAACTGCCTTTTTTTTAAATTTTGCTTTGCAAATGTTGCATTTAAAATTCTGATTCTGCTTCTAAAATGATAATTTAGACTGAAGTGCCCTTTTTTACGCATAAAAAATTTATTCAATTGATTTTGACCCCCCCTACATATTTTTCTGCGGGCGCCCCTGGTGTTGGTACCGCCACCCTGGGAACACCCCTCTGGGGACCGATTTTCGGGCCAGGGATTAGAGCTCCCCGAGTGAACAAAGTTTTCGTCTTTATCATTCTCGTTCACCTTTCGATAACGTTGACAAGGAAAAAACATTATTTCTATTGGGGAGCCTCAGCCGAGAATCCGGCCCCTGGAGTCAAGTCTCCCCAGTGCAAGTACCGTCATCCTGGGAAACTGTATCGTCATCTAGTGCAAGTACCGCCACCCTGGGAAAGCCCCTTTAGATGAGGATCAGTTAAACATCGATTAGCATTTAACGTAACATTAGTAACATGAAATTGACATTCCTAAGTACCGTCAAACGTGTGACCCTATCCACAGAAGAGCATGCATCCTGGAGGATTCATATGTAATGACTTCATAGCAAATATACATATTTTTAAAATAACCTGAGCGAGTTTTTCTCCATCTATCCACCCTACACCCCCTGTCACAGAGAGGTTGTGACATCATTATTATTATTATTATTATTATTATTATTAATATTTTTTGCCGAAATGACATTCGCACTCCCTCTCCCAGAGAAACATTCAATCATCCCAGATATTTACACATCAAAAGGATTGAGCTCTGGTGGGGCCGTTTTCATGTTACTGATAATCCTCTCTAGTTCCTGGAAAACTGGTTAATTTTGTACCTCGGGTTCCTGAAATCTGGTTAGCCAAATGTAAAAATAGTTACCGGCCATCGGATGTCGGTTCTGTTGGTTTTATCAAGGTTTTATCTGTAACTTCTGTCAATTATGTTTTATTTCCATATTTGCGTTCCCCAAAGTAACCGGAATTTTCAGTAAACATCTGTTGACCGATTCGGTTACTTTAGCTTTGTTCCAGCAGACATGAAAACCTTTCTAGAACAGTAATTTCCAGTCGGTCAATCCATTTGTCAATTAGGAAAAACGTTCAACTTATTGAAAAATAGGTGGGCAACTGGAAATTATTGGTTCTGGAACGGTTCTCATGTCTGTTGGAACAGAGCTAATGGCTAAGGTTTGGTTATATTTGGACCATAGCCTTATATAGGTTATGTTCCGATATTAACTCTGTCAGTACTGAATTTACTGGACGCCGTTCCGATATTATTTTCAGTAGGTACACTGGATTCAGTCGATTCAGTACTGAATGACCACAAGAGTACCCTGTTGAAATTGGAACGGCAAATGACAGTAAAATCAGCACAGTAAATTCAGTACTGGCAGTTGATATCAATCAATTCTTCCATTTGTATTCGAATTCGTCAATTTTGGGGTTGGCCCGGGTCAAATCCCCAAAATTCCAGATCAAAAGCGCCGCCGATCTAGAGATTTTCCCACGGTATCGAAAAACTTCCCAGGCTCAAGTGCCCCCGGCTATCAGACCAATACCCACCTCTACTACGTAAAAACTCCCCTCCAGCACAGTCATCATACCACTAAAGTTCGCCTTACGAGTCTAGCACTATGGAAAGAATGCGGATAAAAAAATTGCAATATTGCCTATTTGACTTCCAATAAGAAATACCTTAATATTTATTTATATTATACACCTACATTTATAAGGAAAACGTAATATTCAAAAACGTTGCACGCTCGCCTATGACAAGCAGCATAAAGCTCGTAATGAATGGCGTTATGTCCCCTTGCTCTTCAGACGTCGTAGTGCTAGACTCGTAAGGCGAACTTTACCCACCTCCACTATACCCCCTTCCGTGAAGCTCCTACCCTGAGGAGGCACTTTTTACCCACCTGCACTGTAAGCCCTCTTCCGTAAAGCCCTCCATTAATCTATTTTCAAAAGGCTCTCACCCTGAGATGGTACTTTATTATATCCCTTCACTTTCTTGAAAACTAAAGAATATTTAACCAATTCTTGCATTTGTATTGGAATTCGTCAATTTTGGGGTTGGCCCGGGTCAAATCCCCAAAATTTCAGATCAAAAGCGCCGCCGATCAAGAGATTTTCCCACGGTATCGAAAAACTTCCCAGGCTCAAGTGCCCCCGGGTAGCAGACCAATACCCACCTCTACTACGTAAGTGGTCCACCAGATTCACAATTAAAATGTTATTATTGCAATGGAGTTTAGAACACTATTGACGAATACAAATGCAGGAATTGTTGAAATATTCTTTAGTTTTCAAGAAAGTGAAGGGATATGGAAAGAGGTACCTCTTCAGAGTAAAAGCTTTTTGACGTAGTGGAAGTGGGTATTGCTCTGATAGCTATGAGGTGGGTATTGGTCATAAACAGGTGCATTAATTTTATTGCAAAAATAAATATTTTGCTTGTGAATCTGCTAGTCTGATAGCTGGGGGCACTTGAGCCTAGGAAGTGTTTCGATACCGTGGGAAAATCTCTAGATCGGCGGCGCCTTTTGAAAATAGATTAATGGTGGGCTATGATGGCTATGCTGGAGGGGGGCTTTTACGTGGTAGAAGTGGGTATTGTTCTGATAGCTGTGAAAACACTCTACTCTTTACCCTTATAGTCGTCCTTTTTCTCGAATTTTAGCAGACACCGCAAAAAACTTACGCAACCACCAAGCAACACTAGTTCCCGCAGCTGGAAAACGAATATGGAAAGGTGTGAACTACGTTGTTTGGAATTCATTACCATTCCCTTATTCTTAGACACTCGTCCGAATGTAAATTAAAGAATGCTGGTAAACGTTTTTGGGCGTGGTTTCTGGAGGAGTTTTTTCGCCACCGGCGGGCTGTTCATCCCCCCTCATAAATGCCGGTGCATGAACATCAGCACCCACGA